GTCAGGAATCAACAGCCAAATACTGCTGAGGTGCATCAGAGTACTTTACGTTTCAAGATGTCTGCTTTATAAACTGTATTAATCCAGGTGTGTACAGTATAAATATACCTACAGGTGTGTCTGATTATTTCCGGGATGTCTGTTTGTGCAGTGTGGGTTTCTCCGATGGTTTTAGCCTCTATCTACACACGGTATCTATGTGATATATTAGTATTATACGCCACGCAGATGTGCTCTAAACGGGCAGTGAGCTTGTGTGTGTCTGTAGTGTGTTTTTTTTTAAATATAGAGAGTCTTTATATTTCAGCTTCTGTTAAGTATTATGTTTACAATCGGTGTGTATTCACTTGAAAACAAAACAATCATAGCACAGCTTGACCGAGTCAAGCCTGATTATGACACAATCTTGGCTTCATTTTGCTTTCTTTAGCGTAGAAGCATGTCAAATATGTCAGCCCTGCTGAAAAATCCAGCTTAGGATGGTTGGTTGGTTTTAGCTGGTCGACCTGCCTGGTTTTAGAGGGGTTTTGGCCATTTCCAGGCTGGTTTCTAGTCATTTCCAGCCTGGTTTTAGCTGGTCAGGCAGGGAGATGACCAGCTAAAACCAGCTTTACCAGCCTAGGAGCCCAGCCAAAAGCCATGTCCAGCTTAAACCAGGATGGTCAAGCTGGTTTTAGATGGTTTTAGCTGGTCACTTTCCAGCCTGACCAGCTAAGACCAGGCTGGAAATGACTAGAAACCAGCCTGGAAATGGCCAAAACCCCTCTAAAACCAGCCTGGTCAACCAGCTAAAACCAACCAACCATCCTAAGGTGGATTTTTCAGCAGGGCTGACATATTTGACATGCTTCTACGCTAAAGAAAGCAAAATGAAGCCAAGATTGTGTCATAATCAGGCTTGACTCGGTCAAGCTGTGCTATGATTGTTTTGTTTTCAAGTGAATACACACCGATTGTAAACATAATACTTAACAGAAGCTGAAATATAAAGACTCTCTATATTAAAAAAAACACACTACAGACACACACAAGCTCACTGCCCGGTTAGAGCACATCTGCGTGGCGTATAATACTAATATATCACATAGATACCGTGTGTAGATAGAGGCTAAAACCATTGGAGAAACCCACACTGCACAAACAGACATCCCGGAAATAATCAGACACACCTGTAGGTATATTTATACTGTACACACCTGGATTAATACAGTTTATAAAGCAGACATCTTGAAACGTAAAGTACTCTGATGCACCTCAGCAGTATTTGGCTGTTGATTCCTGACTACAAAAGCGAACAGGGGTTTGGGAGGGAAAACAATCAAACTCGCACACACCAAGACGGCTCATTCTCTCTCACAGGTTTGGTTTATGTGATTCATGAGGACTCTACATATTTTATATTGTAAAAACCATTTATTATAAGTCCTCTAGCCGTAAACCAAACCCTCCCCTGCTAAAAAATCCATCTTAAACCAGCCTAGGCTGGTTGGCTGGTTTTAGCTGGTCGACCAGGCTGGTTTTAGAGGGGTTTTGGCCATTTCCAGCCTG